AGGATAAATTCAACTTTAAATGTAGCCTACAATGAGCTCTTATTATCAACTTGGCCTACTAAAACTGGCTCACTTTACCCCATAGCCACCATTTTAGAAAAAATAGCCTAGCATTACAATTCAGTCATCTTTAGCTTAATGATTCACATGGTTTAATACGCTACCAACACATCAACACATACAATATATGTGTTTAAACCTGGATACTTTTTTTTTGACATGACAGCCGATATAGCTGACATCTAGAACATTTACTTTGACAAGCAAAAAACGTTTTTTTGTAAAAATGTTTACTTACCAGACCACTATAGTATCTCTCTTTCACAGGCAAAGAGCAATGGGTCGAGCTTGCATCATTTCTGGTCACTTGATTACAACTATAAGGCGTTGCCTGGTTACAGGGGGTGGTTCAACTTACCCACTGGCTCAACTTACCCCCTTCTCCCCTACATGTTTTCTGACCTATAATATATGCCTAAAAATGTTATAATAGGAGAACTTTAAGGTTCAGTTCAAAATCTGAAAATAAATACTATAGAATCTATAGACTGTCTATATTTCATGTCTATATGTTTTAAACAAAAAGAGAAGTTAGCTTACAAGACCTCTGTAGCTCGGTGTTATCATAGCGACTTGATGCTACATTAGCTGCTACTAGAATAACACACCCACAACTCATAATGAACCTTTTGCGGTCAAGTTGCATTCTGGGTAATGTAGGCAGCAGGTTTGACCGGGGACAAAAAGCCTGGAATAAAAAATATATTATTACTACATTTTGCAAATATTATTTCACCTTGTAAGCTCAATAGCAATGTTAGCAATTAAAACAGGATGATGTTGGTCAGTCATAGATAGATTTAAAGACAAACTGAAGTGCAAGATTTTCTCAAAGGTAACTCTTAAGTCATTAAAATGGTAACTTGATTTCCTAAAAATGACCCAAACTAGTTTTTCATGAGTTAAAGTCAATCATAGTCTAAAATGATTTCTGCAATGCATACCTCCCTGTTTAGCAAAAGATGAATCGTTCAATCAATTAACATGTCTGTCCCTCTTCCTCTAACAGATGAGGAGGACGTAGATAACGAGAAAAGAGAGATGAACGAGTCCGACATTGCCGGACTGCATCGATTTTTTACCAAACATTTAGAGTTGCCCAACCATAAAGACCTCGTCACACTTTTCTCCCAGGTACTACTACTTCACACACATACACACACATACACACATACACACACACACACACCTAATTAAGTCATCTGAAGTTATATGATTTCACGTAAAACAGGCAAAAGATTAGTCGTATTTACTTTGTTTTATTCCTCTTCCGTATGTCATTTATCCAACAGGTGTCCTGTAATGGTTTCACCATAGAAGATGATGAACTGTCCCACATGGGTACTGCAGTCTACCCAGAGTAAGAAGAAAAGCTCACATGCATAAAAGCAGATTTTAATCCTGTGCTATTTCAACAACACCTTTAAAGGTACAGAATGTTACAGAGTATCTTCTTCCCTCCTCACACAGTCTCTTTTGTATTTCTAAATGTCTTAGTCGGGTTTTTAACTGTTATTTGCTTCTTTGGAGATCTGTAAGTTGCCTCATTTTATTTTTGGTTATCTGATTTGAACCACAGCTCTTGATCTTGAATTAAAATAAAATACTGGTTAACAATGGCCATATACAGTATTATCGATTGCTAAATGCTACAACTAAAGTGTCAGTATCCAGAGCATATGTAACAGACTTCCAAAGAAACCGGAGGTCTTAAAACTTGCAGTGAGAATTGGGATTTTGCCCTGTCAGCTCCTTTTGATGCTATTTCCAGCTGCTGCCAAGATTAAATACACGTCACATATTTTAGGAACACTCAAGACCTCTCTCAGTGCAGTAGCAAAGTATTAAAGCACTTTAAAATTAGCAATCTATTTCATTCATAGTAACAATGAGTTGGCAATTCTTATTGCTTCTTTAAATTACAAGAAATTAGAGCTGGGATTTTAATTTGTATCTTTCCTTTTTGTTTCTGTCTCTCCCCAGTGTGGCATTGATAAACCACAGCTGTCTTCCCAGCGTCATAGTCACATACAACGGGACGTCGGCTGAGATTCGGGCGGTGAAGAACATGCAGCCTGGAGATGAAGTGAGGAAAGGGGACAGCTGTCATGAGAGGGGGTTGGGTCAAAGTGTGTGTGTGGAGAAAGGAGCTGTGTCTATTACGAGAGTGTGTGAAACGTGTCTGTCGGTGATGCTCCATTCAACACAATTTGCAGCCTGAGCCAAATCCAAATAAAAAAGAGTTACTAAACTACTTCTGAAGTAGTAAATAACAAAAATGTTATATTAAAATGACAAAATACTTCATTTTATTTTCCAGTAATATTTGAGAACAAGATATCTACATTTTGAACTTCCTGGAGTCTTGTCTTTAAGATGCCACAGGTTACTTTCGTGTAGGAATTAGGTTGTTACCTTAGTTGTTGCCCTGTTCCAGTCTAAGCTATTCAAAAAGGCTGCTGCTGTTAGCTTTGTATTTACCATAAAGACATGAGAGTAGTGTCAATCTTCTCATCGATGCGATCAACCAGATTTGTCAAAATGTCAAATGATTCCCTAAAATTTGGAAATAAATTAGAATGTTTTGAATGTAGTATATATATTCAACACAGGTAGTTTGGGTTGTAATATATTATGGTTGAGAAAGTAGTAAAAAATGGGATAGGAGACGTCAAATTGTGAGAAAGTCAAAGACAGGCTTTGGTATTAGCAGCATGACCTCTGGTGTACAGTATGACATGACATCTGTTGCACAGTACTGTGTGGTATTCAGCAGCTGATTGAAGAGGCTGTGGGGCTATTCTCAAACTGACCCTGCAACTTCTAGTTAAGGATCTATCTGGGAGTAAATTGAGACATTCAAGTCAAAGGAAATCTGCAATAAAGGGGAGTTTGCACTATTAAGGATTCTTTCATGATGTGTGTTATTCCTCCCTCCATAGGTGCTCATCAGCTACATCGACCTCCTCTATCCAACAGACGACCGCAACAACAGGCTGAGAGAGTCTTACTACTTCTCCTGTGACTGCCAGGAATGTAAGACAAAGTCCAAGGTAAGACACCACAAGAAGTGCTCATACAATCATTCAGTTGCCGTTGTAATTCATGTGTAAAATAAGAAACAAAGCCTTACAGTTTGGTTGACTAATGTCCTCGGTGTCCTGTCTTTTCCTGCAGGACAAGGCAAAGTTAAAAGCACGTAAGCGCAGTGACCCCATAGAGCCAGAGGTCATCAGCAGCATGGTGCGCTACGCCAGGAAAACCATCAGAGAGTTCCGGGCTTTCAAACAGATAAAGAATATCCTTTTAATGGCACTTAATAACAACTCTTGTGTTGCATTTATTGTGCATAACCTGCTGGTACATCCAGTGATATTCTTCAGCAAAGTCTGATTATATCATCTCAGGCCCTTTGATGTTTCAAGTGGAAACTTCTAGCTCTAAAAAGTGAAGTGCCAGTGATAGCCCTTACAGGGGTTGTCACCACTGTTTGCAAAAATAAGTAAGATTGTATAGAAGTCTATGAGAAAATGCTATTTTTTTGTTATCACTTTACTTCCTCAGAAAAACATTTTCCTAATGAGTTTATTGTCTAAAATCAGTGTGTAACTTGTCCATTATATCACGGTGTTCATTTAGTAAACGATGTTCCGATTTAGAGTAAAATAGACGATTAAGCATCTATTTCGCAGTGTACCTTGTGCGTAAAACTCAAGTCTTCAAAACAGCAGTCCACAAACTAATGGGAGACGTCCACTTCTTTAAAAACGTCTATGCTAAAGCCTCAGATGGAGCTGTTGTAGTCCTTGACTCTGTGGCACCCCCTAGTGAGTTGCTGGAGATGTGTGAGCAGAGCCTGGACGAGATGGGAGCTGTCTTTGATGACGCCAATGTTTACATGCTTCACATGATGTACCAGGCCATGGGGGTCTGTCTTTACATGGAAGATCCTGAGGGGGCCATCAGATACGGCGAGAAGATCCTCAAACACTACTGGTAATGAGAAACTTTGAGGGGCTTTTAGTGATGTCTATGGCAATGTTTTTAAAGACGTTTTGCTTATTTTCTTGTCTAAAAAACAGCTAAGTTATGTATGCTCTCTTTCCATTTCAGCAAGCTGTATCCACCCTACTCTTTAAATGTGTCCTCCATGTACCTGAAGTTGGGCAGACTGTACATGGGCATGGAGAGGTACTCAGTGGGAGTCACTGCTCTCAAGAAGGTAAAATGACCTGCTGACCTTTTACAGCATACTTTTATATTTTATTTCAGAGGCCCTTTTAATACAGTGAACAACTTAAAATTCATTATAAAAATATAATATACATTTTGGTAACGACGCTATAACTTTTTCCAATAACTTAAGAGGAAACAAAATGTGTTTTTTGCCAAAAACCCATGTTTTAATTTAACAATAGAAGCCATAAAAGTAAACTGTCTAACGGGTAATAATTACCCATCAATAGATAGCCAGCATTTTTACTGGGTTTAACATGCTGTAAGATGTTTGTACATTTATATATTTCTTCTTCACAGGCAATGGCCATAATGGAGGTGGCTCATGGGAAGAATCACTCTTACTTGACAGAGCTGCGCAAAGAAATTACCAAAAAATGACCAAAAAATAATGGAATCAATACAGAACTTTACAGAACTGAAGGCCCTTTCTGATCTCTTTGGACCTGAAGGAAAGATAATAGCGTTCATGTTTTTATGCAAAGTTTCAAGCAATAAAAATATGTTGAGACTTTTGGACTTTTTTTAATCCAGGATCATTTTGCTTTTTCAGCACAAAATCTAAATCTGCTTTTAACTCACGTTGCTCTGAGCCAATTCATTTCTACGATACTGTGAGAGAGACCCTCTTCAACGCGTACATTATAGCAAAATAAAGGAAATGATTGAAGCATTCCGGAATAAATTAATTTGTGGCCAAAGTCTTAAAGAAAATAAGGCTTTATTGCATAATAAGCAAGTACGACAGGTTCATACATGTCTGGGGAGAGAAAAACAAAAGACTTTATGCACTGAAAACGCATATACAAAACATATGTACACATACTTTGAAACGTATTTGGGAGTTCTGCCACAAAGAAAAATGAAGGGGAAAAATTAAATATAAACAAACAGTGGAATGCCGTGTGAGAAAATACTGTCACAAAGAGAACAGAAGTGCAAAGAAACACTTATATGTCAAGAGAGGATAAAGCTTATACTTATTTTAGAATATATACATTGAAATATAAAAATGCATGCATAGTTTATTATGTTGCGGTATTTTTAGGGTACCAAGTCAAAAGAAGAAACTATATAAAACATTTGTAGAAATCTTTTCTCACATGCCCATTATTTACAAAGTTAATCTGGACATGGCTGGCTTTGCATCACGATTCAGAAGAATAAAAAAGAAGATTGAATGTGAAAGGAGTGAAGTTTTATAAACAGGAACCGGGAACATGGCATCAAAGTAATCTTATAGGCTTGGATCAGATTTGTATTAAAGGCCATTGTTTTCTTAGTCACTTGTGTCATGCATCCTTTCAAAACCAAACCACCTCATACTGCCAAATCTTTACCTCAGAGGTAGGCAAACGATTTGAAATGTTGTAACAAACACAAATGATTAAATACCGATTTAAAGATTGAATCTTTGGAGGTAAAAAAAGAAGAAAAGGATTTCACTTTTAAAAACACATCCAGGACCCTAAAACAAGGAAACGTCTTCTCCTTGTTTCAATAAGGCACAATAACACAGCGTATACAGTATTTGCTGTATCAGAAACAATTCTCTATTTACTGCGAGTGCCAACTGTGACATGATATCTATAAATGTTCTCCATTTATTTGGACAAATACTTTTTAGACTTTTGAAATGCTTCTCAGTAGGAAATGTGATAAAACACAGTGGATCACAAGGAGCTGTGATTCAAGATTCAAGTGACTGTTAAAAAGCACTTTGTTTGCATGTGGAGCAGGATCTTAGAAGAAATGTGTCAAGGAAAGCGTTAGTAACACTTTTGGAATTGACGGAGAAGGCTTTCCAAAAGAACTACGGTAACAATTAAGACGTGTTCAAGGATGAAAAATGTAAATCCACAGGGAAAGGATCGACATGCTTGTTAATGCTCCTTTTAATGGTGAAGGCGACAACAATCTTGATAGAAATAAATAAAAACATTTGTTACAATGTTAAAGTAAATATTTGCTGTATTATTAATACTCTGTCAGAAATAAAAAGGAACATTTTAGAAGAGTGATTTAAGGAATACTTTTGTTTGGCAAACTCTTTCAGAGTGTAGAAAATAGAAGTAATACTGCTGCCACCTACTGTTCATGCAGCATAGTGCCATTTCTAATCATGGCTGAATTATGAATGAGACATGTATCAGGCAGGCCACCTTTTCAACCTGAAACAAGAGATCTGATGGTATGAAATCTCCAGGACAGACACCTGCATGTGGAGAACGCACACACATGCCTTCTCCATGAGCAGGTCCAAGAGTAAAACCCAGGGGGCAAAGAACCACGTGAGGAGAAATGGTGTTCAATTTCTATACAAGCCTACACAAATCCTTGCCTCCCTTGAGGTGATTTTGTCTGGAAAATCCACCAGATTCTCCATAAACTGCAACATATAAAACTGGACATGAATCTCTGTATTTGCTTCCAACCAGTCACCGGTAACACTGCATCTGTTGTACAGTTCTCATGCCAATTCGAAGTACCATTGGAGTTCCATTCTGCCACGTCGTAAGGTCAAAGGTCAGCATCCCGGCTCAGATGAGGCGGGAGTTCTTCAGGAACTGAATGAGCACCTGATAGACAAACTTATACTGGGAGATGGTCTGCACCATCAGCATCCTCTGCTGCCTCAGCTCCGACAACATGGTGGGAACCTCCACAGGCTGAAGGGAAGGAGGAGGAGAGAGACAAAATATGGTGATTGGAAAATTAGAAATGAATAGAGATAAGAAGAAGTGTATGTCTGTTGAGCTACAATATTCTGAGCAGTCCATATGCATCATGGTTATAAAAACACACACCCAGAGTTACACTGATAGAGGATTCATCGAGCCAAATATATTCATCATAGCTGTATTTGCCTAGTGTGCATACTTGGATGAGAAAGTGTATATAGTTTTGCAAATGATGTGTACCCTTTAAACAAATATACTTCCAATGTTTTTCTAATGCCACAAGCTCTGAAAAATCTTGATTTGCAAAACAAATGACCTGTGTTTGTGATTTTTACCCACATAAAGTAAGGTGTGTATTAATTAGGATATTTGTAATACATAATTGACAAAACCTTTCTAACACAAGATGTTGAGTCCCAGAAAGTGCACTCACCTCATTGTGCTCCAGGCAGCTGATCATGAGCTCAGTGAGGATGACCACTCCGGTGCGACCCACCCCGGCACTGCAGTGGACCACCACAGGGGGGTTGAGGCTCTTTGAGGTGTCCAGCATGGAGTTGGTGTGCCTCCTTACAGACTGGATCTCCTCTAGGTAGGCTGTAGAGAGATTTTGTTTAATCAGAATCAGAAACGGGTTTATTACCAGGTAGGTTCACACGTACGAGGAATTTGACTAAGTGTCGTGGTGCATACATAAAAGTAATAAAAAACAAAAATGTAAAAAAATTAACACTGATAGCGAACTATATTAAGAATACTGTAATAAAAAATATAGTGAGATATCAATAAAATAAAGCAATAATTTACATTGAAATAGAATGCAATAAATGATAGAATATAAAATATGTGCAGTAAGCAATATTGTCAACATTGTGTGTATGGGTTGCTTTGTTGCTCCCATGCTGCTTCTAAAGGAAACACATTTATACACTGCACTGTCCTTTTGGAGAGGGTAAGTTTAACTCAGTTTTAAAATCTGCAGTAAGGGAAGAAGCTAGCGTGACTAATAAAAGGTAAAACCACGAATTACAGTTTTTTGACCTCTTGGTTTTTGTATGGATTAGATGTTCTGGTAGTTTTACCCCCTGCTATCAGTCTTCATGCTAGGCTGCTAACTGCCTGCTGGCTCTAGCTACTTTTTCACAACATTAATGACTGTAATATCTCTTTTCAAGAAAGTACATTTCACAAAATGTCCTAGAGCAATAAAGGCATTTAGATTGTTTTTCACTTCTTGGTAAGTCGTAATAAAAGGTACATTCACACAGACTGAGGATGATGATAATGAAGACACTCACAGAGGAATCCCTGGACATATTCGGGACAGCCCTGCTCAGGCCAGTCAGTGTACTGCAGGTGCCAGACCGTCCTCTCCTGGCCGGAGAGCAGGTGTTTGACCTTTAACCCCGTGGTGGCGTAGCAGCCCGAGTCCGTGCGGAATTTTGTGGTCACCTTGAATTTACCATGAGTGGCCGAGTTGTGTTTGGAGCCCAGTTTTGGCCAGTAGCGGTGACTCTTGGGCCTGCCACCCTCCTGGACGGAACAATGGGTGAAGATTGGGGAAAAAGAGAAGAAGGGGATGATTCTCATGACACTTAAACATTAAAACAGAAACACAGTTACACACTCTCACTGTTATCCTATGTCTCACACAAAAAGACACCAGCTGTTGGCGGGTGAAAAATATCCACACCCACATGCCATGTGTGGGCATATTTGTGTATGTACCTCCTCGGCAGTAACCATGGCGATGACGTTGACCCCCTGCTCCCACACCATCTGCCAGAAATCGGCACAGGTGTTGGCTAACGGGCCCTGAGTGGCGATGTAGTGCCACTCCTCCCCTCTGATCATCACCTGGGAAAACACACACACAAATAAAGAATCAATTAGTGTTCTGTTGCGCATGGAGAACACAGCGACAGTAGCAAGGTGATTATTTGTATTATCGACTAATCTACTGATGGTTTCTTGATTCATTAATTAATGATGATTCCAGTTTCTCAAAATCTGTAATGGTGGCCGTGAATATATCTGGTTTTGTCCATCCTAAACCCAAAAATACTCAGTTAAATGTGAAATCCCTTACTCGAAATGTGTTAACTTTAAATAAAAAATTACATAAAAAATGTATAACAAAGTAGTTGGCATTTATTTTTCCGTCGAACAACTAATCAATTAATCAGCTATTTGTTGCATCTCTTTACTGCAATGTGAACAATAATCAACCTACATATGGGTAAACAAGCTAACCTGCTTATTAAAAAAACCACATTTTAATTTAATAAAAGCTCACATTTAAGCCAGAAATTAGTAAATTAAAACGTTCAAATATAGATGTTAAAAGCGTATTTACACAGCTTGACAGTACCACCACTGGAGGGCAGTATAAACATAATTTCCCACCACAGACTGAGTCTTTTCTCTCATTTCTAAAACCCTCTTCTTTAGCTTTCCTTTGGTCTCCTTCATTAATAATCACAAGGCAACACACAGCATCTTCAATACAGCCCGACCACAGAGGGCCATTACATAATGAGCATGTCCCGGCTAATTCCTCAGGCCACCTTGTGACTGTAAACACTGTATTAGGAGGTGGATGGGGAATAAACAAGGCCCTTTGTTCTGTGGCAGTTACCTTAAATGACGGGAGAAAGTAAGAGGGTTACACGGTGATAGGCAGCGACTCAGTGCTGCTCTGGTGAAATGCAAAGTCATGCAGACACACGAGCTTGTGGCACACACTGTTTGCAACTAAGCATGAATAGAGGGCTAGTGAGAGCAGCTCAGGTTGACTTAAGAGGGTTTGGAGTTTGGACCACATTCTTTGGGAATTCCACAAGCTCTCGGAGAGCTTAAAAAGGCCCAAACAGCCTTCGACAGATGCCTTTCATCCTTTCCTCCAAACCCTTCGCCGCTTAGGAATGACCACAACAAAGACGAGCAGGGAGCTCAATGTGTTGTCGAGTTTATGCTCTGCGTTTCAATTTGTGGTGTATGGTGTGGGTGTTGCTAAGCACTTTGAGACTAATTGTGCAGCCGAATACATGAACTTGGATCTTATAAAACACTTGTTGAAATATGGCTATTTTAAAAGTCAATATTATTATTTTCCTCTATACTAGCTCACACAGAAACCTGACAGATGATAAAGTCTAATGTCTAATTATTTTTGTATTTACTTTTTAATATTTACTTGCACTATGTTTGTCTGTTTTTCTGTATTATTGTGTTGCACTGTTGGAGAAGCCTGTGAGCTAAGATTTTCATCGACATAACTACTCTGTAGCTATGTTCGTATGACAAATAAAGAACCTTGAACCTTGAACCCTAATGTAAAATCCAGGCTGTCATTTTGAAGCAGTTAGCATTCAATGGAGTATGATGTTATCTTTCTAAAGAGGCATTTTTTTTACAGTTGTTATATTCGTTCATAACATTTTTCACAAATTAACAAAACAAATATTACTCTTGGCTAAGGAGAAAACGTTTATCGTTTAAAGCAACTGGGTGAATTTATCAAGACACAAGTGAAGGATGTGACAAAGAAAGAACTGTAACTTTCTCATTTAACTGTTGTGAGGTCTGACTGGCGCTGGTTTATCTATGAACCAACTAATGATCAAATGTTTGCTTTACAGATTTAGCTACTTAAGCTAAATAAACAATGTTCCTGAAAAATGTATTGCCACAAAAGGCTTGTTTTTCTTGGCTCATGAGAAAGCTTACATTTTGGTATGGTCTATGAATAATAAAACTACAAGTCTGATCTATAATCATCCTTTCAAATTCCCTTTTTCATTAGCCCGTGGCTTCTCGAGCGCACCTTGATATGCGAGGCGTTGATGTAGCCCGTGTTGTTCTCCTTGTTTGGCACCAGCTCGACTCGATTCTCCTCGTAGGGGACGACGTCACGGAAACGGTTGCGCTCCGTGTTTTCGGGCAGAGTTGCCGTGGTGAGCACACAGTCTGTCCTCTTCTTGGGCACCTGCTCATACTCAGTGAAGACCCGCTCCTCTTCCAGCTTCAACTCCAAGGTCTTACACTGCAGAGACGGGGAGAGAAAGAGAGAAAGGAGAGGGTGTTAGTCATTCAGAGGTTTCTCTTTCAGTCCCCGAGGGGCTTTTATCCATTTACATTCCACCATACTAAAGACTATTCAGACCAGAAATCTCATTATAATACACTTTTATAAACGTTCGTCACCGCTCACTGGCTATAATATCAAAGAACTCAAAGCATGTATAATGCATCAACGCAGCTGTAAAAGAGCAGAGTGTGCAGCGTTGGTATTCATCCTGATAGGGACATGTTTATTAGTCCAGTCGTGTTTGAGAGGGCAGCATCTCAGTCTCTCGCTCTTTTTCTATCACTCTTTCTGTGTGGCTCGCTCTCTCTCGGGTCACATTCTTAACATACCACCGGCCTAGAGGCGATAAGCACCACCATGCCACGCGTTCCACAGCCCACTTAGGGCTTGCCCCCGTTAGCTTAGCAACGGTCGGGACAAAGGCTGCGTTTCACACCTCCAGACTCCGAAGAGAGGCAACAGACAGCAATTGGAAAACAAAATGCATTAAACAGTGTGATCATCGGAGGCTCTTTTTGAGTTTCACAGCGACAACATTCATCTTAGTTCATCATTGCAACAGTTGGGGAGCCTGTAAGTTCCACAAAAGGTTCGACATGAATCCTCTTATCAGAACATTTATATTTGTTAAGACAGCTTTTTGGGCATTGAAGTTTATTGAATTATTATCTGAATAAAAAGAGTTGTAATCCAGAAAAGCAACAGTTGTATATTTATGGTGTGATTATATACGTTTATTAAGTCTCTGAGCAAGTGGGAGTAAAAAAGAGCTTCAACGGGCTTGTTTTCTAACTATTGTACCATAAAAGGATAATAATAAACCTACAATGTTCTCATTATAATACATCCCAGAAGGGTTAGCAAGAGTAACATTTACTGTCATTAAGTAGCAAGAAGAAAATGCGACCATAACAACATCATCTTTTGAAGTCGGCACTTACTGTATAACTGAAAAACAAACCAAAAGGTGCCATTCGCTAGATCTTTAAAAGTACTTCCTCTAACACAGATGAAACCATCGGAATATGAAAAACTCAAAGGGCGTTACACATATTTAGTAAGAGCAAACATCTTACCCGTTCGTCTGTAGCCGCTTTGGCCCCTTCTTCTGCAGGACTCTCGGGGACAGGCATTCGGGCCACGTAGAGGCCGTTGAGGGCGGCCATCATCAGCGGCCTCTTCATGGAGTCCACGGACATCTTCTGTCTTTCCAGCGTCTTCAGGAGAGAGGAAAATCCCGGTGTCATGGTTACAGGCATCGGCAGCATTGCAAGACTGACTGACCTGCGCTGGCTTCAAATGAGTGAGCGTACACATGTGAGTGCGTAAAGTAGGTGGGGAGAATTTTATGTGCTAACGAGAGTGTGTGTGTGTGTGTGTGTGTGTGTGTGTGTGTGTGTGTGTGTGTGTGTGTGTGTGTGTGTGTGTGTGTGTGTGTGTGTGTGTGTGTGTGTGTGTGTGTGTGTGTGTGTGTGTGTGTGTGTGTGTGTGTGTGTGTGTGTGTGTGTGTGTGTGTGTGTCCTGTTTGTAGGGCAAACCTGGCCGTACCAATCCCCTGATATTCTGACCAAAGGTGTAAACAGAAATGTAAAGCCCATTAAGAGCAGACTTGCAACTTCTTATCCATTTGACTTCGACCTCAACTCAACTCCTATCCTTGTTTTGTCCTTCTTCGAAAATACGTGTCATTCTTTCAGTTCTTAGTTTTTTCCCACCTACCTCTTCAGCTTCCTTTTCTTCACAGAACACACGCTTCCTCTGTCACCCTGTCTTCTTTCCTCTCTACCACGCTAGCCAAACTCTGACCCACATTGAGCGGTCCCTCCTTCCTCCGAGGATTACCTCTCCTAATCTCTGATGCTATTAAACCTCCAGGACAGCTCCACCTCTTTCATTCCCTGTGGGACAGTCAAAACAACAGCTTGGGGGTCACTGGGGGTGCCCTCTAGGTATGAGATAAAACCGTTGAGGGATAAAAGCTTTGGACTTCAGGATTGAGGGAACATTTTGTTGATTTACACTATAAACAGCGGCCACAACAAGTAACTTTTGAACAAGACAGGTTTATGGCGATTATATTTTTTAATTTATACCTGAACTCGCTGCTGTGTCAAATGTTTGTGCCGTAAAAGAGAGCCGGCATACACAAGAACAGCCAACACAAAGAGTAATCTGAGGGATTTATAGGGTTTTAGCTGCCTGGGGAGACTCAGAGCCTAGTGCTACTCTCTCAGGTGCTGAACCCCGGATTACTGCTAATCAGGAGCTATGGAACTAGCTAGCAAAACAACAGACTGAAAGACTGTGGCAATATGGTGGTGTTTTTATTTTGCCTAGTACAGGATAATGTGCTGCATTGAAGTTTGGGTTGATTAACTTTTATTCAACATCTTGTTTAACGATTGGGTACACTAATATACAACAATATAAACCCTGTTTTTGCTGCTTTGTATATGCTGGAATCTATTTAATGCTTAAATACTGTAATACTTTTGGCAATAAACCTGAAATATTTTCTGTAGATTGCTAAAGTATACAATTTAAAATGATGAAATACAGGGAAAAGCAGCAAATCTTCACATCTGAAAAATTGAAAGCCTCAATAAGTGCTGGTTTTGCGATTGTCAACATTGATGTGAAGTCAATGTTGATCAATTCATAATTTCAGCACTGAAAAATAGCATGTGTTTATAAAAATATGTTGGCACAGTTGTAGAAGATAAACAGTGTAAAGATTGTCTTACCCTCTGAGCGATTTCCCTCTCCACGATGCTGTCTTCCAGAGAGAACATCTCCGACACCGGCCTCTCTTTGACCGGCTCCTTCCTCACTCTCTCCTTCACACTAGTTAGGTCCGGTTCTGAAATGGAGGGACCTAAAACTGCCCCATTCACCCCACCTTGGTCCCCTCGGGTTAGTGTCCCACCAGCAGATGGACCACCTCCACCACCTCCAGGTCCCCCACCCCCTGGGTTCTGCCCGGCTTTGAGTGCCCGACCCTGGGCTTGGTTTGGGTCCATGTGTCCCTGGTTGCTATGCGGGCCTGGATTGTGGTTGTGGTGGTGAGTGTGATTGTGGTTGCGGATTTGAACATTGCTCGCAGGTCTAGGAGGACCAGGGTACTCCGGAGGGGGTTTGTTTGGCAGCTTGGCCAGAGCAGCCTGGAGCTGAGCGCTAATGCCCTCGTTGAGACCAGGAATTTGAACGTCCAACTCAGGCCTCTCCTCTTCCTCTTCCTCCTCTTCTTCACTCTCACTACTGTGTATGAGCATGGTAGCATTGGAGAGAGTCTTTTGATGCTGGTAGGCCACAGACTCAGGTGGCGCGACAGAAACCTCAGAGGCTTTCTGGACAGGCATCTGCATGGGCAACTCCTGTGGCTGCTGAGGATGAGTCTGGGGTTGTTGCTGAGGGGTTTGGGGCTGAGGCTGAGGTGGCATCACATGTTCTCTGAGAGTGTTCCTCCGATGAAGGGGAGCATTCATACCTTTCATCACAAGGCCATCCATCCCTCCACCTCCTCTCATGCTGCTGATCACCTCCATGCTGTGTCTCTTGCCCAGGGTGGAGCGGTGCTTAGCAGCTGCCGTTAACGGTTCACTTACCTCCTGCAGGGACTGGTGCACCACGGCCGAGCTGTCCGGTTGGAAGGTCTTGACCGACAGCTGCACCATGCGGGTCACCAGCTCTGGACTGCTGCCCCCGATACAGCGGTGACGGTGGCTGGCCAGGTCCGGGGTGCTGGTGGCCGGGCGGAAGGAGCTGGAAGGGTAGGGTGGAGGAGGGCGCGTCATGTGGTTTCTCAGCACGTTCGCTGTAACTGCATAGCTTCCCACGTTCCCCTGTTGTTTGGTATTCGCCAGCTCAGGTGTGCTGACAGTGTGAGAGATGGAGTTTCCTACACCTCCACCCACACCACCGCCTCCCCCTCCATTAACGCAGGGGGAATGACAGGGGCCCTGACTGGTGGCTGGTCCTCCCTGATGAGGGCCATGGGACACTGGCTTACTGTAGCTGATCTGCAAGGTGAACATTCATGGAGAAACTGTGTGAGATGTAGATATGAACACCAAATGTAACAAACACAGAGCATCCACATGAACTGTACCTGTGGTGCGTAAGGTCCCGGGCTGGGCCCCAGGCCATGATAAGGGCTCCTCTCCCTCATCTCTGGCTGGCTATACACCAGAGCCTCAGGCTGGCTGTAAGCACACGCATTGCTGATGTTCAGGCTTCGTAGCGATTGGCTGTGGAGGTCATGGTGAGCGGGGAGCATGCGTCGCTTCTGCCGCATGACAGCATCGTACTCGGGCGTGGGCCGGTAGGACGGAGCGATGATGGCGCTGTGGCGGTGACTGGGGATGTAGTCAGGGCGCATGAGCTCGCTGCCGGGGATGCTGAGGTTGGAGGACATGGGCGAGGGGGGGACAAAAGTCTGGGAGTGATTGAGGGAGCTCAGGCTGGGGCTGCTGTACATGCTCCCATTGGGCACGGTACCATTTCGGAAAGGAAATTCCGCCGGGCAGCGATCCAGACTAGTCTCTGACTTGTAGTAGGCTTCGTCATGGAAGATGCTGTCTAAAGATCAAAAGAGAAAGACATTTTATAATTTGTTATATATCTTTTTTATAAATCTCAAACCAAGTTAGTGAAGTTGTTAGCTTCAGTACATAAACAATACAACAACTTAAAGATCATGGACCGACAAATTCATAGATAAATTAATGAAATTCATTAAATCTGACGAAATTACATATAAGGACTTAAACCAGGATTAAATGACATGATATGGACTACATTTCTGAAGTTCTGAAAACCCGATTATTTCAAAGTTGAGCATATTTAAATTGGGTTTGGCGTTGGGTTTGATGTATCAAATTGGGTATTGTTTGGGTGTGGTTGCACTGCAGCACCAACAACCTTTGTAAGAAATCTGAAGATTTGATGCCCTTAGTTGACCAACTTGAGAGGGAAAGCTTAGAAATATTTTATTCCCACCATTATGAAGGAGACAGTGGTATGCATGTCATTCCTCTTTACTCAACAAATAGAGCATTCTCTCATGTGAAACTATCTCAAGCCCACAAGCAGGCAGACAGACATAATCTCAAGCCTGAGGTCACACTACAGAATGATCTCACACCCACACATAGTAGCACACCCTGGATATTTTTCCACTCGCTCTGTTTTACTGACAAACCGACAAGAAGGAAGCTCTTCGGATTAAAAGGCAGACTGAGTGTGTGAACAAGTCAATGAAAGAGTGAAGCACAAAATGAGGTCATCGCTCTGCACCCCAAACGTTGGGCTCTAATTGGCTGGGAGATTGTTCAAATATAAATGGGCTGTGAGTCACACCGAGCCTCATGGGAAAGACACAATTAGCTCCATTCAACGGCTTCAATCACCAGGAAGGATCCAATCTTAACTCACATTGTGGTCAAAGCAGGGGGCCGGAGGGTTTGAAACTTACTCTACTGAAGCTGTTTCTGTGTGTGTGTGTGTGTGTGTGTGTGTGTGTGTGTGTGTGTGTGTGTGTGTGTGTGTGTGTGTGTGTGTGTGTGTGTGTGTGTGTGTGTGTGTGTGTGTGTGTGTGTGTGTGTGTGTGTGTGTGTGTGTGTGTGTGTGTGTGTGTGTGTGTGTGTGTGTGTGTGTGCGCGCGTGCGTTTTACACATACCTTGAGAGCTCTGTGTGTCCTGATGATGCTCTCCATACTGGGAATGCATTGACTGGAAGTTGCAGGACTGGGGCCGCGGCTGAATAAAGTAACACATTAAATGCAATTAAGGAGAAGCAATTATTTGTAATGCTCCATTAAGCAATGGACATTATCATTATCTACAAATATTGGAGCAGCCATTAAATGAGTCACACTGCAATATATCCTAACTCAACAGGTGAAAGATCAACTCTATGGCCGTGGAGTTGTCCTTCAGCGATGCCTGTGGTTCTCGAGACTGACAACAGAGTGCTGGAGAGGATTGAATGAACAGCTATTGAGCCACATTTAGCCAAGCCATTGTCTGGCCAGCAGGGAGGGAGTCGCACAAATCACTGCCTTCATTGTCGCACCGGAAATCACACCAAGTAACACCCTTGCAAACTTTCCAACAACACCCACCACACCACCAACGCACGTTCAAACTGAGGCTCCATGGCACAATTAAGTGCCGCCCTGAGTGGGAGAGCAGTCAAATCTCAAACCACAGCCGTTTCTGTCTTCCCTCTTAAATTGGCCGTCTGTCCTCCGACTTTTGGTCTCATTTATACACTGTGTCAAACCACTGAGTAATAACCAATGAAAATGAACCACAACAAAGCATGCAAGTGCTGCAGACGGTACCAGAGAGAGGCGGTGGGTCCAGGTGGTTCTCCTCCTGATTTGCGCAGGTGAGTGAGTCGGCCTTAAGAGACACAAACGTTGAAGATTATTTACAAACTGAAAGAACCATTAACTCTGTATCACCAGTTCAAGATAATACAATTTGTTTTGGTATTTCATTCTTTTACATAGCCTTCAAAAGGTTAATAAACTCTAGATATTAAACAACAGATGTAACTGGATTTATAAGTGTTGTAACGGCCTTCAGCTGGCCTCGGGACTCACTCTGCACAGATCTTGTTCTGTTTATAGAATTTGTGTCTGGCCGTAAAAAGACGAGCGATGTACTTGGCCATTTCCATATCCTCCTGCAGATACAAACACAGAGACAAAAACATTAATATTTTTAAATTAACACAGCGGTTGTATTTATGGAAAATAAAGAGCCGGTATTTGTCAGTGTGCAAGGATATCTGGGAATGTGATTTCTTTGTTTAACTTCCCACTAGAAACCTTGTATAAAGCCTCTGTGTGTGTGTGTGTGTGTGTGTGTGTGTGTGTGTGTGTGTGTGTGTGTGTGTGTGTGTGTGTGTGTGTGTGTGTGTGTGTGTGTGTGTGGGTGTGTGTGTGTGTGTGTGTGTGTGTGTGTTTTGAGAGCACCTACAGACTAAACACTCACCATGTGAAAAATGATGGTGTCGTCTTTGCTTGTTATCTCCACTGTGATGGCTGACTTGTTGTGCGCTATGGTACCAATGTCCTTCCACCTGTCATACACAAGGAAACACAAACAAATGCACACAAGGATGAATTTTCCCACACAAACTTCAAAAACATTCTTATTTATTTCTTTATTGTTATTAGCCCTACTACCTCATGATCAAGGATAGGGTCAGAAATAGATAAATATGATGGAGTGGGGGGCTTACTTGTGGAGCATGATGGATCGGCCATTTCTGTGTTTGACAAACACCCCAATGAAAGACACACCGATGAAAATATCGTTGGTGTAGTTGTCCTGTGAAAGAAGAGTGAAAATAATAAGGACAAAGAAAACTCTTCTCAAAATCAGAGAAACAGGCTCCTCTGTAGAGGTGTGTGTGTGTCTGTGTGGGAGGATGGGTTTTATCTACCTTAGCCGGAAAGCTCTCCTGCCCAAAGCCGTCCAGTTTCTCCACCTCTTTGATGTACAGAAGCTCTGCTTCAGCAGTCTGCATTCGACTGGAAAGTACACACATTAAACATCTGGTACTTAGACAATCCTTTTCCTCTCTTTTTTTCACAAATGTACAAAAAACATAAAATTAAGCTTTACCAGCGACTCTTGTGCTCGTTAGCGACTTTTTGGGTCCACTCCTCAAGCACCTCATCTCCATTAGGCCAGTTCTGAGAGAAAAGGGATCACATCATTAATCAAAAAAGAATTAGGAGAAAAAGAGGAGCATAAGAAAAGTAACAGTTGATGAATGATTATTTACATAAAGATGGGAAGGTTAAGAAAGAGTTCAAGCATTTACTAAAGCATTGTCACTTTCTCCACCTGTCAAATGCTTTTGCAGCTAAACTGTAGTCAGTTGGTGCAGTTGTCCTGTGTTCAGTTTGAACATCGGTAGCTGTGCGATGTAACATAGTGTTCAGTTTGTATCCACTAGATCTTTATCTCACTCAGATTCTTGTTGCCAGTGTTCTGACTGTCAATCAGGTATGCAGAGGGAGGGGGTAAAGAGGTGACACAAGAATGTGTGCCTTTAGGCAACACACACAGACTCGCAAAGAAACACACAAGTATTTTAACAGTGAAGGTTTGAGAACTCACCACAGGGAAGAGCACGTACTCCCTGAGGAAGTCCTGGGACATGAACTGAGTGAAGTCTCCAAAGTCCGCTAGAAAATACAAACACATGTGTACAATTTACAAAAATCACATAACTGTACATAGAATGTATTGCCTTTTGTTGTATTCATGGATTTTTTAAGACTTTACAAACTGAAAACAGGAGGGACAACAGATTGTAATAACAGACTATGCATTAGCAATTATAAATATATTTGTACATGATTTTGTTGGTCTTCATTTTAAAAGTTGTATCTACATTGTTCATAAGATGAGGTTAAACCTCATTTATTAAAAAAAGTGTGACAAAAATAATTTCCACATCACACCAGTTATGTGTTTACCTGCACACCGTCTCCATTGCCAGATAGGGCCTGTGAGGGCATCCTAAGTAGTGTTCTGCTGTCTGTCGGATAAAAGTAATTGTAGCGGAGGAACCTAACCTCCCGCCAGATAAGTGTCTTCCTGATGCTACGAAGGCTAACCTTGGAACTAGCGATAAGCTAACTGTCTGTTTACATTCCCCCTGAGACACAGACAGCACCCAGGAACAAGACCGAGGAGATGGAGTGTATGAGTGTGTGTGTGTGTGTGTGTGTGTGTGTGTGTGTGTGTGTGTGTGTGTGTGTGTGTGTGTGTGTGTGTGTGTGTGTGTGTGTGTGTGTGTGTGTGTGTGTGTGTGTGTGTGTGTGTGTGTGTGTGTGTTGACTGATACCATAGGAACTCAAGTGGACTGGGCTCTCCCAGTGGTATGCAGCCATATTAGGTAGTGAAGTCGAGATGACCTGAGAAAGTGTGAGTTTGTGCTCACTCTTTCTCTCTTATGCTGCCTGTCTCCCTCTGGTAGATTATTCACATGAGATGTTTGTTCATGCATATGTATATGTGGGTGTGTGTGTGTGTGTGTGTGTGTGTGTGTGTGTGTGTGTGTGTGTGTGTGTGTGTGTGTGTGTGTGTGTGTGTGTGTGTGTGTGTGTGTGTGTGTGTGTGTGTGTGTGTTCACCTTGTACTGCTAGGCCAGCTAGCCTGATCCCCTGCTCTACTGTGCAGTGGAGGCGTCCGTCCAACACTGCCTTTTTCACCTGCAGGTAATACTGATACCTAGAGAAAGCGAGAAGGGAATAAGGAACAGAAGAAAAGAAAAGAAAGAAATATGTGTTCAGATGAGGTGCTGTAGATTGACACTGATAGCCACACTAGCAGCTACTAATATCTGTCTGTTAGATGGTCCATCACTACGATCCAGACTAAAATGTAAACAATTATTGAATGGTTTGCAATTAATGGTTTCACAGACATTCGTGGTACCCAGTAGATAAATCCTGAGGACTTTTTATTTCCTGTTTTTTTCTTTAATAGCACCATGGTGTCGACAATTTTGTTCGGTAGAGAACGTGTTAGCATTCTGAGATTTGGCTGTGCCTGAGCAAATCCTTCACAAAGCTGCTGGCATGACTGTATACTCTTCAGTCTTTTCTCAGATGGCATACCCCAGCCTGTCTACCCGCTCAAATCTACGAAAAACCCCTAACCCTGACATAGTGGGTGGTAGAATGAGCACTGTTATAAGCCTTCAGGAACTCGGGAGAATTTGGTTAGTGGTTAATGTTATTTTTCCAACTGGCCACACTGTCTCTGAACACCACTTTTATAAAATCAAGCTGGAAAACATGATGGGTTTCAGTTCAACTCATCGATCCAAGGAAAGTAAGAAGAGCTGTGCTTAAGGCGTCGCACATTAGCAATTGAATGTTTGCAAATAGACACCACAGAGAGACATTTTCTTCTGGTCAACAGAAAGTATGCGTCAAGACAGTATTGGCAATAATATTAGCTGTTTAAAACAATGCCAGAGAAGCCTGTTGCAGAATCCAAGAGAGGAATGAGTGAATCACCTTCATGTGAAATACCAGTGACTCATTTCTGACTTAAGAGGAATGCCAAATTTATACCAGTAAGGGATAAGTAATAGGTATTTTATAGGTCTTTCAGTTTCCAGCTAACAGTGAGTGTGTTACATGGAGCTGACACCAATAGGGCCCGAGTTTAATTTTAGGTAGGACCAAAACAAGCAGGACAAAGTGGGAGTATTATTATTGCTGTGCGAATGTGAGGCAAACTGGGGACTCTGCACTGTGGTTTTGGGCAGTGGTGGTTTTGCCAAGTGTAAGCTGATATGATGACACAGTTCAGATTGTTGGGCCTTAAAATAATGTGGTTTAAAAGTCCCAAAACCAGGAGGCTGAAATACACCGAGCTCCTCGAGTTTCTGAGCTCCTTTTGTCCACTCTTAGCCACAGTCCAACTGGATGTGTGTCTTTTGAAGAATGGAGCGGCCACACAGGAGGAAATACAGAATTGTCAGGGTGACCGGGCTCAGCTGCGTAAAAACTTGCACACCGTTTCCTGTTTGTTGCCATGGTGACCACTGGCTGAGTCTTTCCAATGTGGGCTGTGAGACACCTTTTCTGATGTACACACACACACACACACACACACACACACACACACACACACACACACACACACAGTCAGAAAGAGCTGTGAGTGTTAGCGCATGTCAGTCCATGCCAGAGTACACAAACCTCTATGTGGGAACCACTGAGCAAGACATGCTTAGTCATTCACTCAAACACTCATACTTTTATAATCCCTCAATTCTCAAAAATGTTATACTCCTCTGTCGTCTCAATTGTAACAGCAGCTCTCACCAGTCATGCACTATTTAGCTAAACTATTAATCTTATTTTCAGAGTTTCATGGCCTCCATTATGTTCTTTACATCTTTCATGTTCATATTCACATTCTCTCCTCCTCTACTTCTTCCTTTCTTTTTTGAGCTCCACTCAGCATACTCCCAGGCCTATAATCTGACCCCGCCCTCCTCCCTCACCCTGTCATTACACCCGTTGGCTAAACTGCCATTCCGTTCCCGTGGCAACCCCCTAATTAGCCAACCCCAACCGCTGCGGCTGCAGCGAGGGAGGAGCCTGATGTGGTGTGGATAGTGAAGAGGGGGGGGGGGATCACGCAAGGCACAAAACCCTTCAAATGATTGTGGACTTTGTTTTTACAAACTCTCCATGTTTTCCAAGCGTTCTCCATATGGGGTATGTTGAGGTTGACAGTGGTTGGTTCTCATTCTGAGGTTCAATAGCAAAAATGTAATGGTGTTTATATATAAACGCAAGGCCAGCGGTGGGGAGGAGGATGTTAAACTGTTTGGAATAACTATGCGAGAGCTTAAGGTAGTAAAGAGTTCTCGTCATGACAGAGCCCACTTTACACAAAAAACACAACTCCACACAAAGGCATCAACCGAGTAAGCAAGTAGTAGTCTACAGCAGAGCGTAGTTTAATCACATGGCCCTCCTCGATCCCACTAGGAGGAAGTAGAAAAAGTGTATGAGAATGTAATCTTGGTGAATAATATATCCTTTAAATTCAGAGTCTTCAAAAGAGTAGACACATCTTGTAAGCCAAAGTGTCCATAAAGACATACCTATGATGGTAGACACCTGGCATGCATGTCAGAATGACATAATGATGCTGTAATAACAGGTGGATGTAGACGTAGACATGAGGTAAAGCTTTCCCCACTGGAAGTTACTTGTGACTTCCACCATGGCAGAGTGCTCTGCTGGCACCCGGCAGCCACACAGGCACAAAGGACCCTTTATATGCCCACGCATGTTTGAGTCCCGCTCAAGACATGCTGCCAGATGTCCAAGTGGCCCGGACAACAAGCCTGCGAGCATATGTGCATGCATGCATGAATGTGTGTGTACATATGCTTCAACCCCTCCTCCTCCCCCTCTACCTCTGCAGTGGTATGACCCTGTCAACCCCCTCAACCCTGGATGGGTCCAGACAGCTTGTGTGGGAGGCAGGAGGATTTCACTTTGAAATGTGTTGAATCAGCAAGGGGCACAACAGAGTACAGCTGTGTGTGTGTGTGTGTGTGTGTGTGTGTGTGTGTATGTGTGTGTGTGTGTGTGTGTGTGTGTGTGTGTGTGTGTGTGTGTGTGTGTGTGTGTGTGTGTGTGTGTGTGTGTGTGTGTGTGTGTGTGTGTGTGTGTGTGTGTGTGTGTGTGTGTGTGTGTGTGTGTGTGTGTGTGTGTGTGTGTGTGTGTGTGTGTGTGTGTGTGTGTGTGTGTGTGATAAATAGCTGAACAATGCTAGGATTTCAAGGCTGTTGGTGCTGTTAGCCTTGGGGGCTGCTGAGGCCAGCTGGTCTCGCTCCGGTCAACAGCTCTCTGTTTAGGTTCCTCACTTTCTCTCTCCGGGCCACTTTGCCCCTCCTTCATATCACTGGAACAGAAGGAACAGAAGGCTTCAACCACACACACCGGCTACAAGATGTGTGTGGGGTAAAATGGATGAAATCCAAAGAGGTAGGTAGTAAATAGTAGTTAGTGTGGGATTAGTGCAAGAAGCATTTCAGGGGTCAAACACGGTGCAACTGAGTCTGGGTGGAACACCCACCACACACACCAAAGCAGTCAAAACAATGTGGTTATGACCAGTAATGCGAGTATGGCATTACTCTGATTTATATGTTTACATGAGTTTTCCTAGAGGAGTATTCTGGCTACAAATGTAGCCTTCAGATTCTGTTACAGAGTCAAAGTTCATCCAGCGCGCAACTTCAAACCAAACTTCTGGTTCTTCTTGTGGCCATTTTGGTGTGAATATAGCAATAAAACCATGCTGGAAAAAGCCTTGTTTTCTATCAACTTTAACACCAGAGAGCATAAAGAATGTTTGGGGAGGAAAGCCACCTCAAAAACGGAGAGTTTGTTTGTATTTTATACTCTGTGTGAAGATGAGAAAAACAAGAGTGAAAAATCTTGCCAGCAAAAATATCTTGGCTATAAATTGTCATGCAATTGGATTAAAATATGTGTTGCAAAACAAGGTAAAAACTCTAATTATGTTTCTACAATTACATAATCTGACAATTACGTAGAACTCGACAAAAGTGTATCTTGCAGCTGTAACTGCAACTATGAGTATAATTGCAAAAACATAACAGAGAACAGTGTTTACACAGGCTCCAGCGTTCTTGCAGTACTGCCATAATTGCTTGATAATTGAATTATTTGTGTGAATATGCAGCCAGCAAGCACCCACACACACACACACACACACACACACACACACACACACACACACACACACACACACAAACAGACACACTCGCTTTAGCCCCCTGCTTTGGGTAATTTTCACAGCTGCATGGAGAGAGGAAGAGAGGAAAGAACCAACAGATGAATAGATGGAAGAGAGGGAGATCTAGTGTCAGGTTACACATCAGTCGAACACTGAACTTCAAAGACCTGACCACATTACAAAACCCACATTACTTTCTCATTAAATCTCATTTACTCTGAGGAGGCAACACTGTCCATCTGGTTTCTGGCAACAAGTTAACATGAATGTGTTTACAAAACCAAGTAATCTCTTGTTTTTTCACAATCTAAAAGCATTTGAAACCAATGGCCCAAATACTAGTTGGAAAAGAAACAGTCAAGGTCAGTAACAAAGTGTGATGTGAGATTTTCATGATAAAAGTAACCTTGCACTTCCCAAAAACAACATGTCCGCTAACTCCCACTCATTTATATGCTGACAAATATAGATGTATACGTTCCAGCAGTAACATCTGTAGACTCAGCATAAACCACATAAATACCAGGGTACAAACCCAAAGCCAAGTGTTGCAGCCAAACTTTTACTTTCTCTGTCCCCACTTGTCTTCCTCTTTGCCTCTGTCATTCCTTCACCAAATCCTACCCTTCCCCCCCACCATCAGACCAGGTGTGTAGGGAAAACAAAGATCTGCTTGACTGGTTGTGACCCAAATCAACCTTAACTCAATAAATGATCTACATTTCAGTCAGTTTTGATTGTTATCATTCCCCGATTTGATGTCCTCAAAGTACAGACAGTAGAAGAGCAAATTATGACTTTAAAGATGGGTTATCCTTTGATAAGGACTAGGTCATTAAAAGGTGTGTTTTGAACTTTATCAAAAAAGCTGTGAAGATTGTTTTCAACCTGATGTGAAGAAGAGGGGGCCAGGCTTTTAGAAAAGCTTGCCTCAGGGAGCATGTATGTTCTTACAATGTGCTGTATTCTGACTACCCCTCTGACCGGGCTGCAGCTGGCTTCTCACAGGATTATTGGGGGGAATATGCGAGGTGTGTGAGGTGAGTGGATGTGAGTATGTGCGTATGTGTGTGTTTTGTAAACCAGACACCCCCCCCCCACCCAACTCCCCTTTTACCCCCAGCACTTCTGCTGGGAGGAATGTGCGGTCCACCTCCTACGATGGACGGCTGTGCCAACATTCCTGACAAACACACACAAAAAAGAGAGAAAAATGGAGAGAGGGAAGAAGGACGAAGGGACGGAGAAAGAGAGTAAAAATGTGGGACTGAAGTGATGAGGAGATCTGCTCTTGATAAAAAGGAGTAGGGTTGACACTATGTAGAAGTAGTGTAAGAGAAAGAGAGGGGGCTTGAGCAAAAGAGGCAGCCATTGTTCTCACACACACACACACACACACACACACACACACACACACACACACACACACACACACACACACACACACACACACACACACACACACACACACACACACACACACACACACACACACACACACACACACACACACACACACACACCACACACACACACACACCACACACACACACACACACACACACACACACACACACACACACACACACACACACACACACACACACACACACACACACACACACACACACACACACACACACACACACACACACACACAGCAGGGGTTTCCTGGAATACCATCCCCTTACTAGAAGCAGATCCTGGTTTCTGTGTAACGAACCTGCAGAAACCCACACACTTCCATACCCACTTCCACACACACTTCCATACACACTTCCACACACACTTCCATACACACTTCCACACACACTTCCATACACACTTCCACACAGTGAGTATATGGGGCCGGTCACTGATACATGATGATTTAATTATTTTCTATGTAAGCCCTGAAACGGCATGTCCAGTCCTGCCTCCGTAAAAAAAACAGGAAATCCAACAGCGTAACACACTCTCACACACATTGTCGCACACACACAAACCTTATAGCTAACTGCAGTCTCACAACGTCAGGCCGTGACCTGCGATCGACCTTTCCCACATCCAGCGAGGCAGAAGCCGCAAATTCACCAGCTCCGTGCGAGGCAGACCTGCAGAGCGTGTGTGTCTGTGTGTGACTGTGAGAAGGAATCTGAGATGGCAGACTGTCCACTACACACTGACCCCTGGACGCCCTGTTCACAGCTAGCTAACGTGCTCCTTCACACTCTTTCTTACACACAGACACACACACACACTGCGGGTGATAATCAGTCGGAAATTACATCAGTCTCAGGCGGTCATGAGATTGACATCCACGCCTGTCACCACTTTTCTGCCCACTGTTTTCTTGAAGGTAACCAGCTAGCTTAGTAGGGAGATGACAGTTCAGAAATGAAACTGTTTGCTAATACTATCATAGACTGTGACTAATATACTTAATGTAAAATGTATTTCAAATTTCAATTATAAGACAATTAAGAGTGTGACATAACCCTGTTTTATATCTATGCTCTATTAAAAAACATGTAAGTGTACATATACTTCAATTCACATTTTTTAAACTGGCAGACTCCTTGCACCCATTTAAGTATCTGGCAGATTAGTGTTCTAATGTTAAAGAGTTACAGTTAACAGACTATGTGTCATGTACAATGGGTCAAATAGCAAAGAAGATTATAAGCTACTGGTATAAAGGTGTTGCAGTTGTAACTGAAGTTTATAACATAAACACAGAGTATGTGAGTGACAGTTATAAGTGCTGTTTTGAAACTCTTTTTACCTGGTGGCTTCTTGCTCCAGTCGGGAAACACTGGGCACGTAGAACATGACTCCGAAGAAGAGCAGTGGCTCGTTTCCGAACTTGTCCAGCTGCTTCTTGAGAGGTTTCTCCAGCTCCACCCAGCGATGGGCCGGGGCCTGGGTCTTTCCCTGGAACCATAGCCCAAAGTAATGGGTCTAGAGTCGGTGGCGAGAGACAGAGGGAGGAGGTCAATGTGGAGCACAAGGTCAAAGGATGGAGATGACGGAAAGGGACAAAGAGGAAATGAAAGAAGAGAGTGAAGGTTGGAAAAGGAGGAAGTAAAGAAATGACGAGTTGTATAAGTTGGATGGGAAGAAATAGTTTGGTGGGACAGGCGGGAGATGGTAATGTCAGTTCATTCTTGGGATGGGAAAATGGGGGTTTGTCGGGATACAGAATAATAGGTTGAGGATATATTGGGGAAACTGAACAGAGATTAATACACAAGCTGAAATAATAAACAAGCACATATTTCTCCTTCAAATCAGATCAAATCAAAACCTTTGACGTCAGCAGCCAGACTCTATTAAACATAAATATTAGACTCCACTGAATGCCAGCAAGATTACCCTTGGCGAAGGGAAACAGGCAATGATGGTATCTTACTAAAAACCAAATTAAAACTATTTTGAAAACAATGTCTCTTGCCTATCAACATCTACAGATTCATACACAGTTTGAAAAATAAAATGCAATTCAGCTGTATAAACAATGGTCCATAAAAAAGGGAACGGTTGGACAGAAAATATTGACTTGATTGGGGACAGTTTCTTGACTTTTGATGTTTCAGTCAGTCATCTCAAAACAGGCTAAACATCCTGGATTCTATAGATGTGGGGCAGGTTTAAAGATCCTGCGATTTGAATCATAACATCCCGTCATGTTCATTTGGACACGTTTCACTCATCAAAACAGGCACCATACTCGCAACCCATGCATGGGCATGCCAAGGACCAGTAGAACTTGCAAATGTATCTAAAAACCTGGGACAGAGTCAGTTGTGAAACATGACACTGCTGCCATTTGTGATTTCAGTGTAAGCAGCTTCCCCAAAATCACTTTTTTAAGTTTACTCTAATTTTGTCAAACTTCTTTAACAGATCTAGCCGCCATACTATTAACAGCTGACCATGTACATTTTGAAAACGGTGAGGTTTTATTGGTGTGTATGTGTGTTTCATATCATATCACAAATACCTGTTTAAGCTTTGACTTTACTGTATAGAAGGTCGTAAAGCTGCAGCTGCAAGAGCTAACACACTCATCAGTAAACACTCCTTGCTCACATGCTAACAGACACACTCAGGGCCTCAGGTACAGCAACAAAGGTGAAAACAACTAACTCAGACGGACACACACACAGTCCTGAGATGGCGTGCACGCATAGGGGCAGACGGCGGCTTAAGCAGAGGCGTCACATCACCTTATTTATAACATCACTGACACCTGGCAAATACCACAACACTATGTCAGGACGCAAAGCACACCACCCCTCTCTCCCTCACTCACTCAGCTGGCGCAGACACACAGTTGAACACACGTATTTGTATTTGTGAACAAACTGCCCTGCTTTCACGCAAAACAACTGCACACACAAACAATAAGCCCCAGGCAAAGCAACATACCTGTGGGAGTTAGACCTTGGTGAAGGAAATGTAAAGAAAATGAGTGAAGAGAATAAAAAGGAGGAGAGAAAACACACAGAGAGAGCAAGGACAGGGGCAGGGGGGAGTGGGGACAGGCGGATGAGCAGTATCTCTTTCTTCTGCAGAGAAAAGAGGACAGAGGTAGCCACGCTTCGTTAGAGACGGACAAGGACCCTGCAGGAGAGAGACAGTGCAGGGCAGGGAGACACACACACAGGGTGTGAGGAGAGACGCGTGGCCAACACACACATACCAACACAAAGAAACACACACACAATCTGTAAAGTGTGAGGGTCAATGTTTTACTTTTTCTGTGTATGCTTTATATGGGTGATTACCAAAGGGTGGTGTTTTGACTATACACACATATTGTTAGATATTATTTATGTCTGTATATACATTGTGGACAATGTTGTACAAAAAGCTGGCCTGGGTCCAGACATTTGAAGTCTAGTCCACCTATTTAACAATTCTGTCTGATATCAAGACTAGTTATGGCAATGTTGACCCTTATTTATGAATTATGATTTTCAGCGATACTCTATTGATGGATAAGCCAAAATCTAGATGCATGTACTATGACATTTTATCAATAGTGTGACAAACATTCAACTGAACTATGATTTTGTCAATATTGTCTACTGCTACTGATAGTAATATATGTATGTGTCAAAGCTGACAACTGCTGATATTTTCTGTCAACATTCAATACCTTTACAATTAGATCATTTCAATGCCTTAAAAATGTCAATGTGTCCCTACAACGATGTTTCCTGGTACGTCAAAGGCTGTGAAACTGGACAAACTCTAGCATCTGCAAGGTTATGTTATCTTGTCTTTATGTGTTCAAAAAATGATTACAGGAACTGTTAAAGCTACATTAACAGTGTGTTGTTCAAGTAGATAACCAGATATAACAAACCTCCAAAGTGTCCAAATATCAACGTGCATAACAGTCTAACACAAGCATGTACGTGGGTCACATAATGAAAGGGTCCTCACCTCCCGTAGCTCCAGCCTCTGGGCCACCGCCTCCAGACATTCCTGTCCCGTACTCTCCACAGACAGAGTGCATTCAATCACATTGTTGTCCAACAGGCGAATCCGGGTCACAAAGTAGTTTTTGCTCAGGACGTTGTAGCGCCGTGTGCGCCGCAGCCTCAGCCGGAAGGGCATGGCTGGCTGGAGGTCACGGCTGAGTCAAAGGTCAAAAGTCACTTGGGAGCAAGCAAGTGGAGAGAGGGGTGGGCCGGCTCTATGACCTGGCCGCTGCCCTCCTCACTCTCGCACGACGCCAGCCACACCACCGGGTGGAAAGATGCACCCTGGCAAGGCGCTGGCCCATTCCCAAAGATGTGCGGAGGGGAGGAGGAGGATGATGAGGAGGTGGAGGAGGATGAACAGGTGCTGCAGAGAGAGATGAAAAAGAAAAGTGTTAGCCAAACAAGAAACTCTCGACTAATATCCACAGATAGTTTTGTGGAGTCTTTCGAAACTTTCAGATTTGATCCCACAGGAATGCAACAGATAAGCAGTGCTCTAATCAGTAAACATTCTTCCTATCAAAGCTTCCCACATCATATTCCTCCGTGTTATCATCCTGCCTACCTCCCATAAACAAGCAGAAACAAAAAACAGACGAGGCCAGCAGAATCTCCGGTGATAGGGGCAGCGGTGCTACGTTGTCAGCAGAGGCAGGAATCACACGGTAGCAGCAGACAGCTTTATCCTATAGTTATGGCAGCTGCGCTCTCTGTAGCCCCGTGAGGCCCAGCGGCAGGCAAAGCTGGGAGACAGAGGCAGAGATGTGAGGCTATGGATGAATGGACATCAAACAGCCGAGCGCAGACATCCATCTGAACCCGGCAGCTGGCTTTGAGGAACTAATGGAGCTTCTAAGTCTCATATCTGCCTGTGTGGGAGGCCTTTCCTTTCCTTTTTATCTCCCCTCTCTCCCTCTCCCTGGCCGACAGCAGCGCAGTGCCAGACATCGAAGCGTACAGTGTTGTAGTGTGTAAGATCACACACATGCGGTGGTGGCACAGATGCTTTCACAGACACACTGTTTGTCAGCTACTGCCACGAAACACACCGTGTCAATTTATGTTGTCAATTTGAAACACATAAAACTGTTAATTACTGCAACAAAGTGCAACATTGTGAGGAAGAGGCCAACACGCACACAAACTGTGGTTTTAAGGTTAACACAGGTCTTTGGAGAACACTTTGAACATATCAATGAGTTAGTCATTGGTTCTAAGCTTTCATGTGTGTGTATGAGGACAGAGCTTTGAAGTAAATCACACACAAACACAAGTTTATTTACTATGTTTATATAGTCACATAATGTGGTATTATGTCCTATACACTAGTGCAGTGGTTCCCAACCTGGGATCGCAGGGGGGGCGCCAGGCCTCAGATGATTTGAGGCCAAATATCATATTTAGACTTTTTTTTTAATATAATTGTAAGGCAATACATGATTGTCACTAAAAGCCTTGTCTCTACATTACAATAAAATATAAAAAATAATTGACTAATTAATTTTAATAAAAATGCAAGTTAGTATTAAAGGCATAAAAAGACAGAAATGTATAATTATTTCTTTAATAGAAATGTTTCTTCTGCCCATAAAGTGTCCAAACCAGTCTTGTCAGGATAAGCGCATTTTAAAAAACATAGTCATTGTCCATGCCGGTTTCAGTTGGATTATTTGTCACAGTTGCTCCAATCAGATCGGTCTCCTCCATTTTGTAGATTATTTACGACTTTTGAATCCACATAAACACATCGGCAAAATCCGGCTTACTTTGAGCATGTGTTTTAAACAGTTTAATCCCTTTGTGAATTGTTTCCACTTCCGCGCCGTCATTTAATTTCTTCATACAGCAGGAATCCAAATGAATTAATCCTGAGTCCAATAACCATCAAAGTCACTCCAATAGTGCTCCTTAATTACGCTTTCATCCTCCTTTAACAACATACTTCACATTCATCCAGTTTGTGACAGTAGTTGTAGCTTTTTTGAGACTTTTAAACTTTAATTACCGCTGTTGCGCGCACCCCCCCCCTTGTGTGTGTGTGTGTGTGTGTGTGTGTGTGTGTGTGTGTGTGTGTGTGTGTGTGTGTGTGTGTGTGTGTGTGTGGGGGGGGGGGGGCGCAACTTCCAACAGGTATCATTTGGGGGGGGCTCTTGGGAAAAAAGGTTGGGAACCACTGCACTAGTGTATGCAACACGAGAGGCAAACCTAAAAATACCTTGGGTAAATGCCAAGCCACCAAGTGATAATGCTGGTATTGTCGACAGGAATTAACGTATAATTAATAGATAAAAGCAGTGTCATTTCAAGGGTGGTGGCCACTTTGTAGCCTTGTTAGACCGGAACTACACCTCAAAACCCCAAAAGGTCTACACACCTTCTAAGCTGGTAAAATACATTCTTCTCCATAGAAAAACCCTGGGAAATGTCAGTCCGACTAGTAAACTGGTGGTAACCCATTACAAAGACTCAGGAGGGCGAGTGAACATGAAAACACAAAAGAGGAAAATGTATAGAAAATATGAGAAAATGGAGAAAAAAACGCACACAAATTGAAGAATAAAAAAAGACCAAAATACAGAATGACAATGCTCCAGTGATCAGGAGAGCAGAACACTGAGGGAGGAGTGGAGAGGGAGAAGGAGGAGGAGTAAAGATGGAGGGGATGTGTTGCTTCTTGTCCCGAGCTCTGGCAATGTGCTGTTGATAGTCAGCTTGGACCCCAGCCCAGATTCCTCTCTACCCTGACTGGAAAAACAGAGCACACCTGACACAAGTATGCACCACAAGGAAGGAAAGTGTGCGTGTGTGTATGTGTATGTGTATGTGTATGTGTGTGTGTGTGTGTGTGTGTGTGTGTGTGTGTGTGTGTGTGTGTGTGTGTGTGTGTGTGTGTGTGTGTGTGTGTGTGTGTGTGTGGCGAGGCTGAGTGTGCGGGAGGGGAAAGACACAAGGGAGCAAGTCTTGAATGAAAGGACTACAAACTGCTGACTTACAGCCGTGTTGTTTGGTGCGATCTGAATCACACCTTTGTAACAGCCCTGCCCCTTTGGAGGCCGTAACACATTCCTTACTCCTGAATGCATCCGAGACAGCCACAGCAAGGGAATAATTGGACTACAATGGGTGAGTAAATCAGCTTTGACTTTGGAATATGACCCCAGCCGCCACCTGACCCGGACCACGGCCTCTTTGACCCTCCACTCTGACTCGGGGCATAGGGGGAAGTGACATCACAGATTGGCGGTTAAACCTTTCCCAAAATTCCTCAAGAAAATTTCCCGAGCACAGAGGCTCCACGAGATCGCTGTCAACAAGCCTACAGAGCACACAAAGACACAAATAAAGACGCATACTTTCACTGTGTAGTGTACAAACATAGACATGCATGGACAGAGCACACCACAAACACACAGGATCACACACACACCCACCAGGTTTTCAGAGGTTAGCCAAAAGGCCAAACAGCAGTTAACTCTAAACTAGTAATCAGTGGCATGGTTGGAAGTGTGTGGTTGAGTCAAGCCAGACAGACAGACAGACAATAGCTGGGGACCGAACCCACTCCTCGACACAAAAAACGCTGCTTCAACGCCGCTACAGCGCTGCAGCAACATTCTCTCCTGACCGTCGTGTTTATTTCCAGCGTGCAAATACAGCATATACGTTTATGAATTTGCACATTGTAATTTTGTGGCATGGAGAAAACGAGAGGGAAAACTGAGGGAAGAGGTTGTTTTCCTTTTTCAGGGTAGAAAGCTTCGGCTAAATATATATGAAACCATTCATATCTTTTGTTGAGTTTCTTCTCTATCCCCTCTGGACCGGTGTGGTCACAGCAAGAAAAGGTGAGAATAAAAAAAACACGTGAACAACAGTGTATAATTTCTTCAGCAGACAAGTTGTGTAATGACAGGAATGCTTTTAATCAATCAGGATAGATGATGTGCATGCAGGGGCCATCTAGTCAATTCATAAAAGGTAAGCAAATTACAGAGACCTGCATACTTCAACTGGAAAACACATCAAGCCGTGTGTGAGCTTCCATGTGCAAAAACAAACATGTGAGCTCCGTCAGACTGGCGTCAGATTCAATTCAATCAAACTGTCTCTGTGCTTGTGCGTGATAACATGTCAAAAGATGGCAGATGGATTTCCTCCAGCATGTTATAATTGATGTAGTTGGTGATAAGAAAGGTCATTAAGTCAATAAGCAGATTTGTTTTTAGCATGCAGATCAAGCATTTGACAGAAACAGAAATTGTCCAAACGTTGTATTCCTGCAAGTGGTGTGTGTGCATGGTTCACGTGTGACATTAATATAGAATTCAAAGAGTTGAGTGGCTCTACTTTTCAAAGAACAAAAACACATGAGCCAAAGTGTAAGGATGGATTACAGTGCGTTTATCGGTGCTAACGTAGGCTGCAGTCATTAGCATGTCCAGTTCACTACTAACTGTAATTAGCTTCATTTCCTTGTACACACTCCTTATTAACTAATTGGTAGAGTTGGTTACGGCCTACCATGAGAAAAGCCATGTTCACGAGTCCACCATGGGTCATATTTTTCATTCTGGGAGGAAATCTTTGCCTCGATGCTTCCTAGCTTGGAGGAACGTTAAACTCTAGCCAATGTTACACAAGATAGTGTCACAATATTAGACCATGGAAGTACCTAGTATTCATCTTATAATATAGACCCTTTACATGAAAAAAGTCCTAGAGATTACTTTATCAACCAATTCACAGTTTATAGAATCAACCAGCTACAATATACGATCAGTGGCTAGAAATGTCTACACCGTCTGACATAAAGGAGGGGGAGGGATCTTACAGGTTTCCATTGTTAACTCTTCAAACTGCTCGCTCTGTGGGGACAGATCACTTGACAGGTGTAACAAGCAAAAGTGACTAATGGGAGCAGTTGTTAAATGTGTTGACAGGTGACAAAAGACGGATATTAAATCAGAGAAAAAACAATGTTGACACAGGTTTCCCCCCCCCCTCAGGGTGCAATGTTTTTCTGCCAGTCATCTCTCTATTCACTCAGGTGTGGACTCAGCACACAGAGGCCACCTGAGAATTTAAACCAAACCAAAACAAGCAGTGACAATCACTTCAGCCCGCCATGTCACGTCATACAACCAAACTACAACCAGCTGCAGGCAAAAAACAACAGGAAATCACCTATTTGTTTAGTTTTACTACATTATTGATAAAAGGAAAAGTTGTTAAAACATTATTCCCGATCATCTGCGCAGTAACAGAGCGTCTGGTCTGGGTGCTGTGTGTGCCTCGTCTCTCAGGGGCAGCCCGTCTGTCGCTTTGCTCTATTCACATCCACACAATAGCGGGAACAAAACAGCA